TACTTTGGCCTGGCAACTCTCCAGACTGTAACTGTATTGAGCCATGCTGGTTCTACATGAAGAGAGAGACTACAAAGAAAGGAGCTCCACAGTCAAGAACGGAGGCAACTAGAATCTGGCTAAATTGCTGGAGAGATCTCCCACAAGCTAAGATCCAAGATTGGATTGAGCGTATTCTTATACATATTCCAAAGATAATTGAGCTACAAGGTGGTAATGAGTATATAGAGGGGAGAGATAGGCGTTGTGTAGGAGAGCGGCCAGATTTCGGCTAAATTATTCTTGGCAGGACAAAACTTTTGTGAGGCACCTCCGTACATAAGCCAGGAGCTGATTGACAAGATGGCGGCAAACGACATGCTGGCGATGCGTCTGGGGCCGGGCAAGCATCTGCATGGCAAGAAGCTGATGGGCGTGGTCCAGGGCGAGGAATTTGACTATTTGCACGATCTGGTGCAGGCGCAGGAGGGTGTGCGGGCAAACGCTCGGGGCTTCCAGGACGGCAACATGGCGGGCATGACGATCAGCTTGACGGCCGTGCTGCAGTGGATGCCCGAGTCGGACGTCAAGACGCGAGTCGTGAACGAGGTGCTGAGCGGCAAGAAGAAAATGTGCCTGGCCATCACCGAGGCCTTTGCCGGGTCCGACGTTGCGGGCATCAAGACGACGGCGACCAAGACGGCCGACGGCAAGCATTACATTGTGCGCGGGACCAAGAAATGGATCACCAATGGCATGTTCAGCGACTACTTTGTCGTGGGGTGCAGGACGGAAAAGGGCTTCTCGGTGCTGCTCGTGGAGCGCGACGCGGCCGTCGAGACGAAGCTGATCAAGACGAGCTACTCAACCACGGCTGGGACTGCGTTTGTCGAGTTCAACGACGCCAAGGTTCCGGTGGAGCACCTGCTGGGCGAGGAGCACAAGGGGTTTGTGGTCATCATGAGCAACTTCAACCACGAGCGCTTCATGATGGCGTGTGCCGTGATCCGACAGTCGCGAACGATTGTCGAGGAGTGCCTCAAGTGGTGCAACCAACGCATTGTGTTTGGGAAGAAGCTGATTGAGCAGCCGGCGATCCGTCAAAAGTAAGTGGCGCGGCGACCTTGTCTTGACTAATGATAGCAGCGCCTGTGCGCAGCATGGGAGACGAGGCGCAAAGGTTATCGGCGATTGTGGCTAACGAGCATGGGCAGGCTTGCAAAGATGATTTCGCACGTCGAGGCCAACCAGGCGTGGCTCGAGTCGATTGCGTTCCAGATGACACACATGTCGTATGGGCAGCAGTCGAAGCAGCTGGGGGGCCCGATAGGGCTGCTCAAGTCGCATGCGACGCGCTCTGCACACGAGATTGCCGACGAGGCCGTCAATATTTTTGGAGGGCGAGGACTGACCCAGGGAGGCATGGGGCGCGTGGTTGAGCAGTTCCATCGCACGTACAAGTTTGATGCTATTTTGGGGGGGACCGAAGAGATTCTGGGCGATCTGGGAGTGAGACAGGCGATGAAGCAGTTCCCCAAGAGCATGCTGTGAACCATGGGCGGGCAGTGTAGCACGTTAGCGTACCAGCAATCGAGCCAATTAAAGTGTCATGGCAGCTGTCAGTGGCCAATGCGAGTGCAAGCGTGGAGGGGGGGCAGGCTTCTAGAAGCGTACAGCAGCTGGGGTGGCGAGTGGAGATGGTGGTGTGTATGTCGTGTTACACCTAGGCAGGGCGGGTGAGTAGAAGTATGGAGTGGGCGGAGAGGCTAGGCGGTGTGCATGTGTGTATAGTGGTGGTAGAGGATGAAGCAGCGGCTGATGGGTCGAAGATGAATGGAGGGACAATGGATGGATGGATGATGGGCATGGGTGTGGGTGTGGGTGGAGTGGAGCTGCGAGGGAGTGGGAGGGAGGACGTCGGGGGGGGGGTGCACGGGCCCGGCATCGCAAACACTGGCGCAGGGCGGATTGAAGCGCCGCATTCGACGCCAAACGCTGTTCGTCCACGTGTTGGGGCGCGTCGAGGGCGGCAACAAGCGAGAGGCAGAGGCTGGCAGGCGGCGGCGGCGGTGGTGGTGGTGGTGGTGGTGCAGCTTGTGCGTGCATGAGACGCCCTGTCGATGGGCAATGTCACAAGTCCCAGGGGGCGGCGAGCGGCGAAACGTGTCACATGCAGAGGGCAGGTTGAGCGAGAGGCATGATGAGGTGTTGTTGCACGCCGGCTTATCGTCGCTCGACACGCGTGTGGCATGCTGGACGCTGGATGCATGCATGGGCGTGTGTGGGTGTGGGTGTGGGTGTGGTGTGGCGTGGTGTGGTGTCGAGCAGGTCGGCGAGGCACAAGGCGGCCGTGGATGTGCATGTGGGTGAATGGACGACTAGGCGTCTGATTCCACAGTCTCGAGCATGTACATCGACCTAAGTAATAGTACCGTGTATGTAGCGTGTATGCGGTCGGCTAGTGGCACCGGGCGCCCTGCCATCCATGGCCGTGGGCGAGGCACGGCGAGGCCAGGAAGGGCAAGCAATGCAAGGCATGGCATGCCATGGCAAGGCAAGGCGCAAGAGGCGCTGCGAACGCATGTCGGCTCGAGTCGTAATATGCAGCCAGCAACACGCAAGGTAAGGCAAGGCAAGGCAAGGCAAGGCATCGGATCAAGGCCCCCCCCCCTTCGCCCCTCGCTCGCCCTTCTTTACATAAGTAGCCCCGTCTGCGTCACCTGTGCCTCTGCTGCCTCTGCCTCTCTACCTCTGCATACCTAGCTCGTGCTCGTGCTTGACCCTCAACCCCATCCACCCCCCTACTCGCCCGACAAACCGCCGCACTCGCCGCCTCGCCTTTCTGCCTCGCCTCGTCACCTCACTCGCCTCCTCTTGCACCTCCATCCTGCAGACATACCTCCATCCATCCATCCATATATATATATATATATATATATCTAGATATATATATCGATACACTCAACCACCACCCCGTCCACCGCTCGCCTCAACCCCCGTCTCAGCTCTCACCACGCACACACACGACATCTCCCGGCCGCCCTCAGCCACCCCGACCATACCCCAACCCCATTCCATCATCTAGCCGGTCAATTCGCCGCGCCCACGTCATCACCACTCGCCCGCCGACATTATCGCCCTCGCCACTGTTACCCCTACCACCCCGACGACGACTACTTCTACCACCACCACCACCACCACCGCCACTACTGCAACCATGGCTCGCTCCTCCAGCATCTCCAGCATGTCCTCGGCCGCCTCCGACTCGGAGGAGACGATGCAGATCTTTGTCAAGACCGTGTCCGGAAACAACAGTGAGCCATTTACCCCCAGCCTTGGCTCGTCCGACAGCTCCAGCAGCCAGACAAAGCCCCAACAAAGCTGCAACAAAGCTAACATGCCACAGCAATCCCCCTCACCATTCCCTCAAATACCTCGATAAGCACCCTTCGCTCGCTCCTCGCCCTGCGCACCAACATGCACTCGCCCTCGGATCTGCGCATCGTCCACGCCGGCAAGCACCTTTCGTCGTCGGAAACAACCCTCTCCGACTACGCCATCGGCCCAAACGCAACCCTGCACCTGGCCCTGCCTCTGCGCGGCGGCATGCCTCCCAAGAAGATCCGCTGCTCCTTCAAGGACTGCAAGGACCGTGCCCAGCCCATTGTCGGCGACTGCGGCTTCTGCAGCGGCCACCACTGCAGCAAGCACCGCATGCTTGAGGACCACAAGTGCGAGGGCCTCGAGGACTGCAAGAAGGAAAGCCATTCCCGCAACGCAGACAAGCTCAACAGCGAGCGCACCGTTGCCATCAAGGGCATCTAAGCCCATCCGTCCGTCGTCCGTCCGATCCGTCCGTCCGTCTATGAAGAAAGGGAAAAGAAGGAGGAAACTATACCCCCGTCCAACATGTTGTTGTTGTTCTTTTTTTCCTTTTTTGAGCGATTTGATGCCTGCCATCGTCATCATCTGCAGCTCTGCTTTTTTTTTGCTTGTTGCTCTTTTTGCCTCTTGACATTGTTTTTGATGCACTGTTATGCGAAGCGCGCGCGTATGCCCTGTTTTGATTCTCTCTCGTTGTGTCCCTCTTCCCTTCTACGCTCTCAGGATGCGTATAATTCCACCATTGCATTCCCTGCTGGAGCAAAGGGGCGTTTTGTTTCATGTCATGCAAGTCGGTCATCTCATCTCGTTTCTGTCAAGCTCAAGAGAAGTGTAGCTAGATGCCTGTCATGCCATGGGCCATGATTAGATAGAGTCAATACACTTACAACTCGACCTTTCGCTACTGCATTCGTGCTAGTCTAGAATGACGCATACGTCATTGGCGATACATTCGCACTGCTGACTGATCTTAGTACCCTAGATATTCTTACGTGCAGCTAATCAATCCCAGGGCCGACCCTTATCAAAAATAGCATTTGAACCTTATCCTTATTTCAACTCACACAGCATAAAAGAGAGAAGGAGAAGAAGATGTATACATGTAGATGGCGTAGCTACGATATGTTCTTACTCTAGTCTACTACACGAGACCTACACCCCACCACAGCACTCTGCATGTACGCTGCGACATACTACTCTACTATAATATACCGTCTACATGTATATGGACCATTGAATTACAAAAACAACAGGATCCAACTCTCCTCTCTTTTTTCGCGTCCTTGTTCTTGAGTAGAGAGACGTCATTAGTCTACTGCGATATACACATAGACACACACTTATCAGTTAGCCCATTGAAATCACGTCTGCAATGAATTCATACACATGTAAATGAATAACCAAAAGAAGATGGTAGCGAGCAATAAAAATGGCGCAGTGAACATGTCCCTTTGTTTGTTGTGAGATGAGGCGGTAGAATCGGTATCCGAGGATTCTTGTCTCTACGCATTTCCTTTCTTGGAATGCACTACTAGATTTGCTCGTCCATATCCGGCCAAGCTATCTTATCAGCATTGGGTAATCACGTAATACAGGATTAGTATAGTTCTAATGCGGATAATACATATGTACATGCATACACGAGATAGACAAGTCAAGAAAGAACAAGTGATGCGTGTACATTTACGCGCGACAAGACAAATCATCTGCTCGCAAGGTATCAAGATGCAGCTTTTCAAACATTTCGACGTAGTATTCTGTAGTTAGTGCGAGGTACCCACATACCCACTCCAGTTCAAGTTCAAAAAAAAACCCCCCGAATACAAAAAGTTGAAGCATTACTTCCCTTACTTGTATAGCAAACAAAACGTGTACGTACCCTTCCCATAGACGCCATTCCAGCAAGCCTCACACATGTGGATTCGTAATGCGACGCGCGTACCTCAACATTTCGCTTGCCAACCACCACCATCAACCACCCCCTCACCCTGCCCACACTCTCTACCACTACCACTACAGTAGTCCTGCTTACTTAGCATATACATGTATCATGTGATGCGGGAACAGCAAACATGTCATCGTCATCCAAGTGAGGGGGACACTTAAACCGAGTCATGGCATGTACTATCGGCTTACACAATGACATTACCAAACGAGATGAGATATCATGGAAACATGACACGAAGCCACTCTACTGTACGTGTATATATATACATGGCACCAAGGGGGATGCTTGTTTTGTCAATGGAAGAAGAGGAGGGGAAGGCGAGGGGGGGCGTATATATGCATTTCCTTCCAGATTGGACGCCTTGCCCTTTTTCTTAGTTGCAGTCGGACTAGAACAGGATAACATGGCGGTAATAGGTCCCTTGTCCCTGACACAGATGTGTATTATACTTGGGCTCTCTTTTTGCTCGCCACGCACCCACACACGCACGCACAAACCCACGCCGGAAGCCGCTCAGGCCCCGGAGGCGTGCGCGCCCAATATCCTTTTATTTTTCTTCTTTCATTCGTTCCTTTTTCCCCCCCTGTGCTTATTATCATTATTGCTGTTGTTGCTTTTCTTTTCTTTTTTTTCCAGCGCCACCCCACGACTCAATATCCATACCTATTATACATCAATCACACTATGCTTGGGTTTATTCTGCAGGCCTCAGGCCAGCAACAGCGGAAAAAAACCACTTTGGGAAAAAGGGGAAAAAAGGGCAGCGGGTGATGCCCAAATGTACGCGTCGGAAGATTAGCACACTCGGCATATAACCTCTGTATGCCTGTGCGGCATTGCTGGCCGAGTAGCCATGCGGCGTTTCAGCGTCAGCGACAGAATGCAAGCGCGCCGAAGACGGGGACGGCGACTCGGGGGAGTGCGAGGGCAGCGAACGCCCTGGGTAAAATGCTGGGCCCCCTCCCCCCCCTTTCCGCTCCGCCTCGCCTCGCCTCGCCTCGCTTCGTCGGGCCAGTTCGCACTGGCACTGGTGCTTGGTCAGGCCCGTCTCGTCTCGGCTTGTTACAGCGTGCGCGGGTTGAAATGCCGCTGCTATCTCGGGGCCTTGGTATTATCGTCGTCTTGTCAGCTCCCCCCCCCCTCCCTCGCAAATGCCGGAGGAAATAGTGGTGGTGGTGGCGGTGGCAGTGGCAGTGGCAGCAGTAAGCACGCGCGTTATCGACGGGGAGACAGGGGGTTGCTTCGCCCGGGGATTCCGCTCCGCCCTGGGGCTGCCGCCTTCGAATCTGCCGCCATGCGGGTGCGGAGGCGCGCGCGGAACTGCCTCCCCAAATCCAAGTGGCCTGATCTTGACACACGGAAAACGGCACACGGCGCGCACCCCCATACGCCGCCCCCAAGTCGCCCAGGTCGCCCAGGTCGCCCAGGTCGTCCCGGATCTCCTCCAAGCCACTCCTTGTGGCGTTCCGCTCGTATTTGTCTGTTTTTACCGCGCCGCAATCGCTGCGCACCAGCTCAAGGTTTCAGCACGTCGTTCGCAATGCGCCTTGAGTCAGGAGACGTGAATGTTTGTTTTCGGTAACAAGGCTTGGCACAGCACGTGCAGACCCCAGGTGCTATGACGACGGATCAACAAACCTGACAACGGGAGATTGGCGTGGGCCCGACTTGATCTCTGCTTCCCTTTCGTCCCCAAACGCCTTTTCTTCTCCCCGGGTATAAGCGCCTCGACCCATGCCTCATTTGGTATTTCCGGCCAGCGTTGGGGAGAGCGTCTCTCGACATGTCTGCTGCACCAGCACGCAATTGCATCTCGCCAAGCCGACGCCTATATCAACATGTTTCACCTGAGCAGCCTAGCCATCGACTTGTTCAGTCGCCGTTTTGGCGGTATATCCGACCATCCGACCATCGCCTATGGAGCCGCGTAGTTGGGCTGTGCAATCGGATCAAGCCGGAGACGGTTTGAAAAAAAAACACTCATTCAACACTCGGTATATTACAAATGACTCGTCCCTCCAATCACTCGCAGGCACTTACATGATACCTTTGCTACAACCCATCTGGAACCGACTGTCGAGCGATAACACTGCCACCTCAGCTGCGCAGCTCAGCAGGCCGCGTACAAACATCTCAGACACGGGACCACGGGATATATGCAGGCAAGAGAATAGCGCACCGATATTGCCGCACCAAGAGCCCACTGCTACAGTTGGATGTAGCCTGCATGATGATGTCCACGGCACAACGGCCGGCTCCAGAGTCAAGTGATGAGATGGGCGTTGGCGCTCGTCAGTGCTCGAGGTATCTTCCCCACACGCCTTGTGTGGAACGCAAACGCCCGTGACGTAGCAACCGAGGCCGAGGACAGCGGATCCATAACCTTCGCCATGACAGAGACGGCAGCAAACCAACTGTCGTTGCATCGAGGGGTGACGCAGCCAACTGACCGCCATGGATTACTTGATACCAATCAGCAGAATAGGCAACCGCCGAGCAAAATGGCACGGCTTCGGCACATGGAGCGTCGAGCACACAGTTCTGTGCGTGGGATGGAGAATTGCTTCTTGTGGCGTGTGGAACGCGATTGTCGACGCACGAGTGGGAGATGTGCAACAGGCCTGGAGATTGGCGGGCCAGAACCGGTTTCCGCAGCGGACGACAAAGCGAGCCATGTGTTTGTGTGCGACCTGTCGAGCAAGACAATGAGGCTCGGCCAGGGAAGTTTTCTGGGCCACGGTTTCCTGAAGGCGTAATGATCCGGTCAGAAAGCGTGCTTGGCAAACCGTCCTGTGTGCACATAGCGGCGCTGATCCCCAGACTTGCTTTGGCTCGGCCGTCTTGTCCAAGCCCCGTCGACGGCCCTCCCGCAACGCTGGAATGCGCCGTTGCCGCGTCGTCTGTCAGCGTGATACGGGACTTTTTCTAGCAGGCGGGCACGGTGAAGAGGTTCCTGCGCCTTGTTGTTGGGCGTGCATGGGCGCCAGGTCTCGACTCAGGCCAGCAGGACACGACGCGTGTCATTTGCCTTCACATGTACGGGCGAGCAAGCAAAAGCATGTCGCGGCTGCGTAGCGTGGGGCACACAAACTACTTGGAGTTGATACTTGGCAAAACACGTCCTGGACGGCGATCCCTGGGCATCCGACACGGCTGTGGCTGTGCTGCAACTCAAGATAACGAAGCAACACGCGAAACCGCCCCGGGCCGCCGATCATGGTGCGCCGCCCGCCCTAGCGCGTTTCTAGTCGTCGAGGGCAGTCTGCCGCCATTTCGCCGCGGCCAAACTCTGTCGACGGGGCCCCGTCAGCGTGCTTGGGGGCGGTGGCATGCTGCCGACGACCAAGGTGCTCAGGTGTGTGTGTGTGTGTGTGTGTGCACTGCCCAGCGTTCGCACTGTCGTAGCCGTGGCACAAACACGATAAAAAAAAGAGGTCGCATCTTGCACCCTGGCCGCACGAGTGGGGCGCGCCAAGGCGGAAGGTACATCACTACTTGGGCACGTCTTGGCGCTGTGGAGCCCACCGATCCAATGGAGCCGCAGCCTCGAGCCTCCCGCTGACGCTCTGCCAAGCCCTCCCAGCCCGCTCCGCCAGTCGACACATCCCCGTCTGGCGCCGTAGCCCCTATCGCCCTTCTACACAACGTCCATGGCCACCCATGACTGTTGTTTTTGTGGAACCGGCCAAGCACGCACAGCAGGGCGGTAATCTCGATAGCTGCGCAGCCCATGGCGGCAGAGGTGCACAACCGACGTACCATGGGCCGCTGCATCCACTGCCGCTCCATGCACCGCACGCGAACAAGCCTGTGGCGGCGCCGCACACACACACACGCACGCACATACACACACAGGGCCATGACGACTCAAGCAGCCACCACAACGAGCAGTCAAAGCGCCCTTGGAATATACACCAATGGCCCGCGTGCGAGCCCAAACGCAGCCTGCACCCGAACACCCTCGCGTGCAGATCTCTTACCGCCGGACCAGCATTCGGACCAGCTCTTGGCTTTGGGCTGCAGCACACCAGAAGCCTCTATACAGGTAATGAAGTATACCCTGCTGCTGGCCGAATCCCAGTGCCCGTATGTCCTTGGCTCTCCTTGGCCTTGCACCCTTGCGGTGCTTGTGCGTGACGGCACTCACATTCATTCCCTCCCCCCCCCATTACACGGCCGGTTTGACTACCACGTCACTATGGCAAAGTCAGCCACACACTCTATACGGCGGCGGTGGGCGTGCTTAGCAGAAGTGGACCCGTAAAAGAACCCTTTATCATCGGCGCCTAAGGTCCCACATGCACGACTGACTCCCGCCCAAGCACCCTTACTTAAATATTGGCCCCCCAACCGCTTGGACGGACGGTAGAACTGTATCATCCCATCAGTGCGCACTTGAGCGCCTTCCCTCCAACACGTACTCGTCGTGTTGAGCACCTTGTCATCTACGTCTACCGTGTCAAACCCTTTTCCAAACTCTCATTCGCTCCCACCGCTTCCATTGTGCAGCCCCAACGCTCCAGGAACAACCCGCACCATGAAAGGAACACGCTCACTCTACAAAGAGGGCACCCAGCCCAATGACAAGACACTGCCACTCTCTGAAGCACCAACCACCACCGGCTCTGTGGGAGACGGGCTGACAGCCTCTCTCGGTGTGCTCGATGAGCCCGAGTGGCCGCGCTCATGGCGTGCCTATGCCTGCCTGCTAGGTTGCTTCTTCCTCATGTTCAACTCGTGGGGCCTTGTCAATGCCTACGGCACTTGGTCGTCGTACTATGTCGGTCACTCGCTACGAGGGATCGACCAGCTCCAGCTCAATTTGGTCGGATCAACCGAGTCAGCGCTCGTGCTTTTGCTCTCCAACGTCGTTGGCCGGCTACTCGATGCAGGGCACTTCCGCAAGGTCATTGGCTGCGGAACTTTTCTCGTCCCCTTTGGTCTTTTCATGCTCACTGTTGTCCACCCTAATGACGTTGAAGCTCTGGCAAACTTTGGCAGCATTTGGGTCACGCAGGGCTTCGTCGTTGGCCTCGGCATGGCGACTTTCTTTGTATCTAGCTCGCAGGGTAAGAAAAGACATGCAATCTCACAAGCGTCTCCGTTAACTCGGCTCCAGTTGCCTCGACATGGTTCCCCAAGCGCAGAGGTCTTGCCGTCGGCTATGTCGCATGCGGTGCGAGTGTAGCTGGCACCATCTACCCCACCATGCTCCGCTACCTCATCCAGTCTGTTGGCTTCAACAATGCCGTGCGCTACGTTGCGACTCTGACGTCGGTCACATGCATCTACTCGTTCATCTTCTGCACCACAGACCCAGCGCACGAGCACCACACACCAAAGACGTGGGGCAGCATCGGCACCTGGGTGGATGGCGAGGCATTTCGCAACAAAGCCTGGTGCTGGTTCACTGCCGGCATTGCCTTTATGTTTTTCGGCTTCTATCCTGTTTTCTTCAACCTTGAAGAGGTAAGTCTGTTCCTGTCTAATCTCTGTTACATCGACTAACGTCACTTAGTGGGCATCAGTACGCGGCTATGGCACGCGTGACCGGACTGGCTCCCCAGTAAGCCCCTCGGACACAACCAACAAGCCTCTGCAGACGTTTTGGCTGCTGGTCATCATGAACGGAGCCTCGACCGTCGGACGCATGCTCCTTGCCCATTTCTCCGACAGAATCGGTGCCGTCAATATGCACATTGGCTCGCAGTTCACTGCATCCTTGCTCACGCTCATTCTCTGGACACTAGCCGGATCCGAAACTGACGCCATCGCCTTTTGCATCGTCTTTGGCATCTTTTCCGGCATGGTCATTGGCCTTCCCCCAGCCTCCATTGGCAACATTCTCAACTGCTCTTACACAGCGCCGGGCACCACGCACTTTGCAAAGAAGAAGCTCGGACACTGGACCGGCATGATGTACACGTTTGCCGCCATTCCGGCTCTGACAGGGCCCATCATCGCCGGCCACCTCATCACCTCATACGAGACTTACATCACCGTTCAGATGTGGTCAGGCACCAACCTGCTCATTTCGTGCCTGTGCATGTGCGTCTCCCGCTGGTACCTTCCCTGCGCCAACGGCGACCACGCCAAGGACGCCCTCAAGCGCAGCTCCATCTTCTCCAAAGTCTACGCATCAGACAAGCGCAACAGCACCGGCCCTGATACCTTTTCGCAGGCCCCAACTCGCGTTCCTAGTACCGCGCCCTCAAGGCCTGTCTCCCAGGACAGTCTTTATGACGTCCAAGGCCGTATGGCGTAAGATAATTCTGTGCAGTTCTTTTCCTTTTTTTTCTTTTTTTTTCGTCTTCACTCGAGCCATTGTTCTGCAGCGTTCTATGATATGAGAAATGATTATGCACACGTAAGGTTTGTTATCTGTCATTATCACTATTATATACCGGCTCTGTTGTTATTACTGTTATTTTTCTTTTTCTCCATATTTCTTCTACCTCTTCTTCTTCCTCCTTCTCGCCTAGCAGTGCACGTTACACGGCAAGCGAGCTTGGGCCCCCTTTTTTTTATCTTTTCTCTTTCTTCCTTGTTCTACCCACCACCAACACCACCCTCCTGCTTACGAGTCCATGTCTTGTTTTTGACGAGAGAACGAAGCCTTCTTTTTTTTGGGGGTTTTTTTTTCTTATTTTCTCTCGAGACAAAGCGTAGGCGCAGGGAGCTCCCTCGAATGAAATACATGGGTTGAGCATCAGTTTACGGCTTGGATGAATAATAATAAAAAAAAACCAAGTATTTCAGAATTAACAAAATTCTGTTCTTTTGAACGATGAAATTATGCACATTTTTCTGGACTCGGTATGGTGGCATCGTGTTCCTATTACACGGTTCGAGCTTTGTCTTGCCTCACTTGACTTTCAAATGTAGGATATGAATAGGTAGGTATATTTTCTACACCCTTTTTTTTGTTCCCCTTTGCTTCCTCCCCTCGTATCTCATACCACGTTCTTCTCTTCCTCTTTCTTTCTTTCTTCCTTCCTCTCGCTCCTCGCTAAGCTCGGGCCGCAACACCGGTAAGTATAAGAGAAGAAGAAGAAGAAGAAATCCAGATAGTACATGCACATGCATGCATACCTCTGTACTAACATCTACCAGCTTAACATTGACGACACGTAACGGCTCCACAGCCAAGTCAAGTCAAGAATCCTTTGTTGCACACTAGCAAAACGGTACAATAACGCGTTGAACCCGCCTCGTCTTGCATGCGTACGTGCGTGCATGTGAGTATGTATCCTGGATCGAACTGATTCACATACTCTCTTCTGTTTTTTTTTGTTTTTCTAAATGTTTTAGAATAAAAGACGGAGGAGACCAAGGCAATGGACGAGAAGAAAAAAAAAAGAAAGATGCGAGATATACGGTGTGTGTGTGTGTGATCTAGATACTCTATTTGCTTAGTTACTTTACTGTACTTGATAGCAACTTTTTTACTTCTTTTAGTTTCGGTTTTTTCTTTTCTTCCCTTTTTTTTTCCTTCCCCTTCAATGGATGCCTTGGAGGAGGATACCGGACGAGTGAAGAAAAACACACACACACACACACAAGTACACACTTATTCGCACAGATAGCTGCTTATTTGTTTTCTTCTACTTCTTCTTCTTCTTCTTCTTCTTCTTCTTCTTCTTCTTCTTCTTCTTCTTCTTCTTCTTCTTCTCGTGCTTCTTCTCATGTGCGAGCGTGGCATGGACGCTGTAAGTACGCTGGTAACTAAGTTGTACGACCGCGGCCGTATGTATGCACGTATGTATATATTCACAACGATACATGCCTTGCTGCCAAGTGATGCATGATCAAAGAAAAAAACTGTAAATGCACTCGATTACCCAGCCATTACAACACTGAACACAAAAAACAATAGCTATTTCTCACTCGCGTCGACTCAGGCATGTATGATGTGTACGAGACGAGACGAGACGTGTGTAAAACAGTATTGAGTTTTACTTTTTTCTTCTTCGTCTTCTTCTTCTTCTTCTTCTTCTTTTGTTTCCTTTGAGATCGCTGATGCAGAGTACAGATGTACGATCAAGGGCGAGTCGCAGTAGAATGTAGAATGCGAATCCGAGTAAGCATGGATACATATTGCGTCATACAGCACGAGCAAAAGCACGGGTTCAAGCACGAATAAGTGAGTGTAGCATGTTTTACGCTTTGACCCACCCTGTGTGTGCGTATGTGCGTACATGTGGCTGTGGCTGTGTGGTGGTGGTGGGACATGCACATGGCAAAGTTCACGACAAGTTGATTTTCATTTTGCGGCTTGCTTTTTCCAGCATACGTGGAGGTGGTGTGTGGCACCACACCCTCTCACTCTTATTTCACCTTACTATGTACAGTACGTTGTCGATGCAGCGCGGATGGAGAGGAGACCACGATTGTCGTATCTTGTCTGCTGGATCCGTTGGGCTGATAGCGAAGTCTGAGGACTAATCAGATACGGTACGTAGGCGTGCAACGTCTCTTGCATGCGCGCGTCGTGTCGCGAGAATCCGGGTACCAGATATGTGCCTATCCTGCCCCCCTTGTTGCTGGAGGTGCAGGGGAGGGATCGCGGGTTGGACCGGTATAACGGGGCAAGTGTTGATCCGCCATCTTAGCACGTATATATACAGCTTGCATCTTGGATGTGGAATCTTGGTACCAGGGGAATTACATAATAGTGATAAGGGGTTTGAAAAGCGTACCACTATTTCCTTATCTTTGGTACTATCTTTCTCTAACACATCAAAGAACTCTACAACTTATACAATCACGCGTTGGCCGTAGGGCTGGAACTGCGTACTGGTAAACCATGGATCTGCCTCCCGAGAACCAGACGGCGCATCTTGGTCCGTGGATGTACGGGTACGGCGGACACACAAAGCGGGAGTGCGAAAGTTAAACGGTGAGTTGAAGATAGGGGGGTTGGCCACTTTTGTGGTACCGACCGTTTGGAGTGGGAGACGGATCGAGATTGCGTAGTTTGCTTGGACCAACAATAATTTTCCACGAAATGCCGATGCCGGGGCTGGTCCGTGATGCAGACTGGGTGGGTGTGTGGTACATGCTGTCTTGGCGGTATTGGGTAGACCAGAGATAGTGTCAGGTTGTAACTTGTTGGATTGGAGTCTTTCTCCGTATTTATGTGCCTTGTCTTGTATCCTGTGATAGGTGCTGGATTGCACTCAGCTATTAGCAGAGTAGACAGACCGCGTATCCACGGAGACGTACTGTCCATTCGTCTAAGCACTACCCACAAGTAAATCAAGACCCAGCCAAAAACTCATCGCAGCAGCAGCATCGTGGGTCATTTGAACTGCAAGCCTTACAAGACCTGAATGTCCAATAACTTTCTCCTGCAAACCTGCCATCAAGCTGAATCAGCCTGCAGGTAGGCTGCCGAGAAGCCTAGCATTGGCGAGCACAAGAGATATCTACACATCATATAGATCCTGGATCTTGTGCTATACTTACTCCTCATCCTGTAACACCGCACTCTACACTTGACAAGATTCTTCTGACAGAAAAGGCCTAGTCGATACAACTATAGAGTTGATGATGTATTAAGATTCAGAACCACTGTATCACAGTAATTTCCGTCTTACTGCTCAACGATAAATCAACCAGTTGTACAGCCAAGTGAAATTTCGCCAAGCATATTGGCATGTCCATCGGCCGAGTAGCACAGCGCACTCCAAGCAGATGTGCGACGACAAGACGGAAAAGCGGGAAGACGCCTTGACTTGAAGTTGTCTGGACTTGAATTGTGGCTTTTTTTTTTCTAAAAGTGAATGACGACGACAACAGCAGTGGCGGTGGCTGTGGTGTGGCGGTGGAGGCTACGTGTACGTGCTTTAGTGACATGCATGCCATGGCGGCCGCAGAGGCGTCTCGGTAGCAGCGGCAATGGTTGACGGAAGGAAGGGGGAAGGGGTGTGGCGCTTCTGGCACAATGTGTGGAAAATTATTTTGAGCCAGAGTCTGGAGGCATGCTTCAGCGACTGGTGATTTCCGAGACGAATGCCACTGAAAATGTATCCTGTCTAATGTAGATATTTCCTTTATTTACTAGGATATCCTTTGCAAGACCCGAAGAGCCGACGTAGGTGCTACTGCGCAATAACTTGCTTTCTACACCTCACTCATTCCACTAAGTACACTTACTTACACTAAACGTCTTTGTACGCCACACTTCCTATGTTCTTAACATACACACACATATACACACACCATATACACACACATATATATACACATATATATACATATACACACATACATACATATATATATATATACACATATACACACACAAAGATACCTCCCTCTCTAAGCCCTAGGTACTTAAATATCCCACCGCCTTCACATCACCTCTCTCTCTCTCTCTCTCAACGCGCCAACACACCCAGGCATACATACAAACAACCCACACCTCCTCGCCACCTCCACCGAGCGCACACCCCCATCTTACCTTTACTTTCCTTTCTTTGGTATACTCCAAAACCTCACTCTATTCTCCCACACAACACAAACAGAGCACCGCAGACATAATAGCTCCCGCTCTGCATCCACCACTGCTAAACATACCAGGGCAATGGGAAAGAGCTAATTGTGTACGGAACCCATAGCCAACCAGCATACTAGACAGATTGCGTGTAGATTCTTAGCGTAATATCTAATTAGTGTATGTAAGTCAATAGTGCATCTTTCTTCCTACACTTATATCAAACATAACCCTCCTCTCTCTCTTGTACATACATACATACATACATACATACATACATACATACATAACTAAATCCATCCATCTAAATGAACTACATCAGCCCTTTAGAATCACTCCCTCACTCCCTCATGAAACAAAAAACAACGACACCACTCTTCCCTCTATTCTCCTCCATACCATCCAATACCTGTGTTATATAGCCTATCTCCCTTCCCCATGTAAGTACGTATATCAAGATTTGCTCGAGTATCATCGCATTATATTGTATCTTCTCGTTTCGTATCGTATGTCTACACCTACCTTAGACCATGCTTGCGTGCTTCCCGATCAAGCAATCACGCACAAAGGCAAAGGCAAAGCCAAGGCTATCAACATGTGCTTATTAACCTGTGTACATACAGATTCATACGGACGTACATATACACATATTAAGAAAGTTGAAAAGAACAAGACATCAATGACATCATGGTAAGAAAGAGAAATAAAAAAAAGAATACCATCCAAACCCATCTGTCTCAACACTTGTGCTTATCCGGGGCCAACATCCCCCCACACCCAAAGAAAAAAAACAAAGCACCCACACATAAAATAGGAAAAGAAAAAGATATAGGATTAATCAGCAAGCAACCTAAAAGAAATAATTGGGAAAAGAATCCAAAAGACAATAATAGAGAAACAATTGCCGTGTCGAGAAAAGACATTTAGAAAATAAAAACACTTGTCCATTTCTCTTCTTTCCGTCCATGCCGAAAAATAAGATGAAAAAATAAATAAAAAAAGTACGCGTACAGAAGAGTTAAAAAGAAAAACAACAACAACAACAAGAACAACAACTTCACACACACCCCACTGTGATCGCGAACGATAATGCAAGTGGGTATCTAAAACTCGCTGATAAGCACAACTGCCAGTCTCCTCTCTCTCAGCCTTACAAGCAAAATTACCCCCCCTCAAGGCCAACACCATCCGCAGGAAATTTCATTACGACCTTTGACAGAGTCAATTCGCTTGCTTCGTCATGCTCGGTGTCTGTACTCCAGGTTGCGCAGTGTGACCTGCAATTTCCAGGACACTAGCTGTACTTTCGTTGCCCCCTTGTACGGTCATGCCAAGTGCTCTTCGTGCGTACTCTTTCTTGCCATTTGCCGTCTGCTCGACAGGAGAAGGCGTGTTGCTATTGCCATTGCCGTTGCCGTTGCCGGGCGGTTTAGCGGCAGGAGGCTGTAGCCACTCCACGCTGGTACATCGATTGACAAGTCGTACCGTGGTTTCATCGACAGGTGCAAAATGGTTACCGCTCGAAACAAGGAGATGGAGGAGACGCCGCAGCTCGTCGCGTTTGTAGTGCGGTGGCCTGCTGATTTGACTGTGCATGAGGATCGGATGGAGAACCCGGAGATAGGTATGTCGTAGCGCGTTGGCAGCGGGTGAGTCGTGTGGCAAGTCCATGAGATTGCGTAGAATGACGTCGACTAGCACGTGGAGGTCGTTGGTGTAAAAATACTCGGCGGTCGAAGGATTGCCAAAGAGAAGATAGAGTGCTTTTAGAATCAGAAGCTGAAGGGATGTCTCCGACTCCCGGTTCAGAAGAAGAATCAGATTACAGCCAAATGTCTTGTAAATAGACTCGGTGACGCACTAGCCTAACGCCGGTGAATCTCCGGCGACACGTCGGACTTGATGCGAACAACCTGACCATCAACCACCAGTTTGCGCCTCTCTGTATAGCCTTGCGTAGCCTACGTCGCTGGGGACGATGATTCTGGAAAGAGGCCCGCGACTACGACATGGCATTTGAGGTGTCGTATGATCTCGAGAATGAGCAACAGTTCTGGGATGGTGAGTAGAGCGCGACAAAGAGGCTGTTCCCATAGCCCCACCACCACCAGCCTTCATCTGACACCACGCACAACAGAACTCGACGATATTGTGTCGACGCGCTGCCACCAGCACGAGATAATCGACAACTCGCTGCGATCCTTTCTTAATGTCACGACGAATTACAAGTGTACGCCCGCGCCTCCCCCCTCCCCCCCGGACTGGCCGTCTTCAGCATTGACCGCGAGCAGCCGATTACCTTCAGACCGACTACAGCATTGCCAAATGCATATTCCGCATGCTCGAGGGCGAGCTGTTTGCCTCGAACAAGCAGTATGTCCGGCGGCAGATAATATATTGCCTACTACAAGTACGTGGGAGCATACCCCGCGTCACGAGCGCGAACAGTGGGCGGGCTGTGTGTGGGGAGGGGACATGCGGGCTGACGGTTGCACAGGAAGATGACAACCCCACGCTCCACATTGTTGCCGCGTTTCTGATGTACGACGGCCGCAATAGCAAAGATGACGTGGTTTTTGAAATGATGCATTCCGAGGGCACGTTTGCCAGGCTGGTCGAGTTGGTGCAGAAGCCCAGTGTGCAGGAAGAACCTTCGTTGCACCAGTTGCTGCTTCAGTTGCTCTATGAGTCTTCGCGGATTCAGCGATTGACATATGAAGACTTCAGTATGTCGACGATACCAGCCGTCTCGGGGCTCTTACTAACATGGTCCCGTAGTGGCCGTCAACGATGCTTTTATTCTTTATCTACTAGGAATTATCGAAGGAGCCTCTGACGACGCCGACGACCCTTACCACTACCCTGTAATCCGCGTATTGGTGAGTCTGTTCCTGAAACCTCGAGGTTACGACTAACTGGATAGCTGGTTTTGAACGAGCAGTATCTCGTGGCGTCTACCAGCCGTCACGGTGATGGACGGGGTGGCATTACAAACCGAGTGATCAAGGCCATATCAACGCACGGCATGACTCTCGGCGTAGCCTGCCGGGCGCTTGCAGCTGCAACAACAAATGTCCCGCCAGCTGTCTTGGACGAGGCCTCTGAAGCCGTGATTCGGCTTTGGATGCAGAATGTGCTGGCACCTGTGAATCTGACGATACGACGCCGTGTATTACCATGGGCAGCATCCCCACCACAACCTCTGGGCACGCGTTTTTTGGCTGCTTGGTACTGCTCATGAGCACGGTACCGACGGCAACTGAGATCCATCCACGACATGCTCATTGGCTTTAGCACAATGTATCAATGGATACAGCGCTTAGACGCAAAAACAAGCCTAGCGACAAACTCTTATCACAGGCGTGTGGTGATCTCCGTCCTGGTTCACTCTTGATGCTTTGTTGGCACCATGGCATACGCTGATGAAGCGCCCCCCCCTCTTCCTTACCCATGACGCGACTTGAATCCACAAAGTCTGCAATCGCCTGTCAAAACTGGCGCGCTGATCCGCAAAACCTACACCTACGTAGTCTTGAGCCATTCAACCAGCCTGAAGAAACATCCCCAGCACCCATTTCAAACTTCACAGCACTGCCACACATCACACCATGCATCCATCCATGTCACAACCTCCCACGCCCTTCACTAGCGCAGCACCCAACACCCTTCGTCCCCCTCTTCCCAAAACCTACCCTATCCGGCAAACCCCCCTTTCCCCCACGCCCTAGCCATGTCACGAGCATCCGCCCTGTACCTGCGCGCTTCGTCATGTTTCTACGCGCTTCCGTGCAGTTTTCCATGGATGCGTGTGCAAAGTTACTGGATACGGAATAACAAGTCTGTAGGAGTTGGTTAGAACGAGGGGGGGCCGTAGGCATGCATGTGGGTACTAGCGTGACTATGTCATCTCGTATATGTACGTCTCCTCTGTCTAGTGCTGCACTTGGCGCTTTGCTCTTGGTTTGCATGGCGCTGGGGATGACGTTGAGAGTAACCAGGTACAGTGCGTAGAAAAGCGTAATATTTGGGGTATCTCTCCCTGTGTACAAAGTTTTAATCCTGGACAGTCTTGTCTAGCCACCTATTCGTCCTCGAAAAGAGAGAAAGATTTTCACAATCGTATACCAACCAGTGGGTCTGTCTCTCTTTCATCGTGTTCAAGCCTTGTCCTCTCCCCAATGTATAGCCAACGCTTTCCTCAGCTCGCCTTCTCTCTTTCCTAGCACTGGCAACCCCCTATCCACACACGCTCTCTTGATCTCCTCTATGCCCAGAGCTGCCAGCCCTCCGTCTCTTTCAATCAATGCGCGATCTGTTTCCAGGTACTCCATCTTCTTCCTCACGTTCCTCTGCACAAGCCACTTTGGTGGTGTCAATGGTACCCAGTCGAACAGCGCGGGATAGCAATCAAGCTTCGCGGCAGTGATGCAGAGCTCGAAAAGCGTCATGTCCTGCCATGCTTTGCGATTTGACACCACCTGACCCTTGACGGCTGGAGTGGAAGATGATTCAGTAGCCAAAGACGGGCGGTCTTTGCTCAATAGGCGCATCGTATCGAGGCTAATCTTGCGCAACCGATCCTGTCGCTTGTCCTCTCGCTTCCGTATCGCACGCTCGACTTGTTGGGGAATTCTGCATGCCTCCGGAATCAGAGGCGTGAGGTACATGACGACGACGGGCAACCACTCTCCCATTAGCAGCACCAGCAATCCGAATCCAGGCAACCTCAGGACATCAACCCGGCTTCTCCTTACCACGTGCCATTCTGCTCTGCTCAAAACTTCGCTCATGGTTTTGTTTGGTGTCTGCGCGGCCTTTTTGCGCAACGTCTTGGCAAATTTTGCTGTTTGTCGGACGTGCGATATACCCGTCTTGTAGAAGGTGAGATATGCGCGGCCGGCACTCCATAGCCATTTGACAAAATTCTGGTCTACTTTTCGTGCGGGGACGGAGATTTCAGGGGCATAGGTAAAAGCTGGAGGGTTGAGCCTCTCCTTTGCTCGCAGGGTCGGAGCGACGGTGCTCCTCGATGCAGGCAATGGCGCGGGTGGAAGAGAGGAAGACGGAGAGTGTCGCACTGGGTGCAGGGGTTGTGCAGGGTTCGTCTTCATGGGTACTCTCGTCTTGTTGGTCTTGCTGGGTGGCGGAGGTGCTGCTGCGATACTGTGGCCTGTCTTCTTCGCGGGCGCTGCTGTTGACAAGGCATGGCGCCTGACTTGTGCCTCGAGTGTCCTTTCATAGCTGGCTCTTTGTATGGTGTGCCTTGACCTCTCCTGCCATGCCTGGCTGCTCAGCGCCGTCGTAGTAGCCCGAATGTGTATACATCGATGACGTGGTAGACTCGAAAAGGCGACATTTGATCGAGCGGGGGTCATGAGCGTGGAAAACATCGGTCGTGGTTTCATCGTGAGCCCTAAAATGTGTGGAAAGCAGCAAACCACGAAGCGCGCAAAGAAGTGCGGGGCGTCGACTGCTCGTGATTGCGGCGACTTGAATTCGCGAGATCAGAATTGGGGCCAAGGAGACCCCTGCTCGCAGTTGAACACGATGTCATCACACCTCGTGTCTGCGCTAACCCGAATGGGTATACTAATGACATCTTCACATGAACGCCATTTCAGAAACGTATTGATGATGCGACATTCTCCATTATCTTTACAGGTTGCTTGCAGGCGTGAGAATCATTCGAGCACATTCTATAGTCGGCATTGCAGTCGAATGCATTCCATACGCCAATACCCGTCTGAAGACACGCCCTTTGAAACCGTTGTAAAATACCGACCCAGCCACCAAAAGCCCAGCAAAACTTTCCAGCCCATGCGCAATCACGTCGTCGGGCTCAAGCGCCCCCATAACTCCTCGCCAAACACGCTATAAACTAAATCATAAAATGAACAAGGAAACTACCATACACGGACAATGGGGAAATGGGATAAATACAGATAATCCCGTGATTGCAAAAAGGTACAAGAAGTAAGTAATCGACAAGTGCAGATATGGATTGGTCATGGGAAAGGCCGTCTTTGGGATGTTTCAGGGTCCATTTGTCCGGGATTGGGCGGTTGCCAAAGGCGACGGGAGTCGCTTCGGTGATGTTGATATTGCCAGGGCGGGTTGTATGGCCTCGGGGTACTTGTCGAGCGGGGTCACGTTGGGAGGAGGGCCTTTGGCTTGTGCGGATTGTCAGGGGCGATGGCGAGTACATGGACAGAATGGGTCCGGGCTGAGCTACTGTATGCTTGATAAGCTGGGTCGTCAAAGGCTTAGCGCTACGTTCGAGGGATCTGGTGGGCGCAGTCGTGAGGGCTGGGATTGACACGGTGTCGACTGCAAACGCGAAACGGGGGGGGGGGGGGGGCGGTACACAAGACAAGGGTAATGGGTAGCAATGTCGGGGATTTTTGGGGTGACGTTCGAGACCGTCGTCCTGTGTATCTAAGTGTTCTTTTTTTTCCCATCCGAGAATGGTTTCTTCAGCGCTGGTACTGGGCAAGCTGGGCCATGATCTCGTTCATGTCCGGCGCAGGGCCAGGCTGCGTCGGAGTCTGAACTGGTGGAGCAACCGTTTGGTTCTGGTTGGCAAGCAGGGAGGCGAGCGCAGGAAACTGGCTGTTCAACTGTGCGAGATGCGGCTGAGGCGTGGATCCAAAACCTGGCGTTTGAGCTGGGCTAGGCACCTGTGCAAGCAGCCGTGCAAGATCTGCATTCAGCCCCGGATTGGAAGGGGGTTGCGTGTTCTGCGTCATGTTATTTCCAGACATTGCGCCAAGCAACTGCGACAGACTAGCGCCGTCCAGAGAGGCAATCAAATTGGAGATGTTGGGTTGGCTGGCAGGTAGAGGTGGGAATGTGGTGGGTGGCTGGGGGAAATGAGGCGGCATGTTTTGACCAAAGTACGAGGTCGACGATGGCATGTTAGAACGGGACTGGTTCTGCTTGGCATTGTTCACCAAAAGGCCGGCTGTTGTTGGGTCCAGGTCGGCATATTCTGGGAGCGTGTTAGAGTGTTCTTGAGTATCACAAAGCGCGTATACTTGCCGTTGAATTGGACATTGTTAGCACCCGCTCGTCGATCGAAAATCTGGACGCTGACTTTGCCCTTGGTCAAACCTGTAGTGTCAAGCCTCACAATGGCCAAAACGCCCTCTAGAATCTGTCTCCTCACCACGGCGGGCTCAGGGAAACGGCCGCTGAGTATGAGAACATTGCTTCGGAGACTCTGCGAGCGGAAAGTGTCCTCGACGTAGCGAATAAAGTCCCTTTTATCATGTTAGCATGAGTCTTCAACAAGGCGACCAGGAATTTTGTTGAGCGTCGACATACCGAGGCAGACCCTCGTTGAGCACAAGGATCTGGATATCGGGTACTTCATGAGGCAGCCGACGGCGGAGGTCCAGCCCATCTTCTGTGTAGTCTCGACGCGGAGACGGACTGCGGTGGCGACGAGGAGGAGTCCTTGATCTGCTGCGGTACCGCGCATCGAACCTGTCGCGGCTCCTGTCCCGTGACCTGATGCCCCGAACCGGAGCCCGGGGTGAGGGCGATCGCATGGGTCGGTAGTCATCCCGATCACGGAATCGTCGATCTCTATCGCGAGGAGACATGGAATTCGGGTGACCGCCGTAGCGGTTGTCCCTAGCCGACGGCCCTGTGCCACCCCTGGTATAGTCGGGCGAGCGCGAGCGTCGGCGCGCAGCGGAGATCGGCGGGTCGGCTTTCTTCGTGTTTCGCTGGGGCTTGGAAATTTCAAGATCTGTCCCCGTTAGCTTGCTGTCCACTGGCTTCGGCCTATCCTGTTGACATACGCATTTTTCTTCCGCGTACAGCCTGTCCTTGCTCTGTATCTAGCGCTCTGCGGCATGACTCAGCGTCCAGGAATTGTACAAAACCATATGCCTGTTTGATTGAGATTTGGGCAAGGCGGCCGTGGCGGTAAAACCGATGAAAAATGTCGCGCTTGGTGACTTTTTCAGTGGGAAGATTGCCTGTGAAAAAAAAGGCGTTAGAATGGCCATGTTGCGCGGTGCACTGTCCCGGCTTACCTATGAAAAGACGAGAGCCCATGGGAAACTGATCCCACTGGCCTTCGGTCACAAACTTCCTTTCTTGGTCCAGAAATTCTTCGTATCTCCGGTTCACTTCGGGCGGCCATCGCTGGTCCTCATCATCAGGCGTTTCGCTGCGGTCAATTGGCGGCTGCTGCTGCTGCTTTTGTTGTGGCTGAGCTTGGCCAGGCGCAGTTGGGCTTTGAGCTGGCATGCTGGAAAAGTCCTGGTTCTGGACATTCAAGGGCTGGAGGGAACCATTGCCTCGCTGCTGTGTATTGGGCGCTCTCTGGTTCTGCGGATGATAGGATCTGATATCATCGTTGGGATCATAATTGGGGTGCGTAGCGGGCTTTTCTTGCGTGGGGGGCCGAGCAGGCAGATTGGTGGCCGATGGCAACGATGAGGCATTGTGCTGCGGCTGCGCAGGCTGGAGAGGCATTTGGGAGGCAGCAGGCGTCAGAGAATCCAACAGGGCTTGAACGTCAACATTGTGCCCAAGGTGCGCTTCAGTCTGGTAGGGAGCGCCTTGGGCTGACTGGGGAGGCGCTTGCTGAGCGGCATAGGCACTGTCATGGGAGTATGGGTACGCAGAGTGAAGGTCTTGGCCTTGCGCCTGGGGCGCATCAGCGGCCGAGGCAGCGTGCGACGGATGCTGCGAGGTGAAATTCTGCATTGAAGAGGTACCATGCGCCTGCGTACCCATGTTGTTGTTGCTGCTGCTGTAGGCAGTCGACTGGCCATAACCTGCCGGCGCATCCTCTCCACCCCCTGGTGCAGCTGCGGCGGCGGCGGCGGCGGCAGCTGCTAGGTGTTGGTAGGCGGCTGTCGACGACTGGTCGGCAAAGTAAGGCGCGGGCGCGGTGGCGGACGGGGGGAGCTGGTGGGCGTGGTGGGCATAGTGCGAGGCGGGCGTCGAGGAGGAGCCGTTGCTGTGTGAGAGGTCATTGTAAGTCGCATCCATGTGCTCCACCAGGATGGGGATGTTGGCGGGCGACGGGACGTTTTGCGGGCGCGGACTCTCTGGCGTCAGCGACTGGTGGCGTACGTGCTCAGCTTCCTGCGGCGGACTCGAGTTGGGTCTCATGTAGACTGTCGGGCCAGAGCGCAGAGGCTGGCAGTGAGCAGGCTCGGGCGGAACGGGGAATTTTTGGTCAACTCAAAGCATCTACAAAACACACCGGGGGCGCGACAAGGGCTGGAAAGGGGCGTGTGCTCGCTCGCTGCACGACGTGTGCACGGGATGGCAGAGGCCGGTGGATGGCGGGGGGGTTGGCTAAGGTGCTATGGTTGAGGCGACGTGATGGATGGTCGAGGATGGGGAGTGGGTGGGTGAGCGGGTGGAGAGCAGGGTACGGGTGCGGGTACGGAGGTAGTAGGGAAGAGGAAGGGAAGGGCAAGACGCGCCAGACGGGCCCGGGCAGCGCTGGACGGGCGGGCAGGCGGGCGGGCAGGCAAGTGCAGGGCCGTGTGCGCAGGCGCGGGCGGGGAGAGCGGGCGTGGCAGGCGTGGCAAAAGAGAGCTTTGGGGGGGACGGAGGGGGGCGGAGGGGGCGGAGGGGGCGGAGGGGCTGGTTGTTGAGGGTTGCAGGTCGTCTGGCGCAAGAGCAGGAGCAAGAGCAGGAGCAAGAGAAGAGGGAGGCGACGTGACGCGGGTCGAGCAGCTGTTGGGAACTCGGCGTGCGAGGCTCCGAGGCGAGCCTGGAACCAGCAGCGCGCGCACTGTTGCTGTGCTGCTGTGGTTAAGCTCCGCCACGTGACGGGCGTGTTTTAGGCCTAGTGTCCGGGGCCCGCTTGTGCTCTGCTTCTGCGCTGCTCCGCGCTGCGCTGCCTGCATGCATATAGCAGGCCATGGCCCAAATAGTCTTTCTGGCCCTAGCCTGGTGATTTCATCTTGACAGACCGCACCGCCCAACAGCCAGCATCACGGGCAATTCCCGCCGCCGCCGCCGCCCTGCCGCCCGTTGCATACATACACACGCACACAACTGGCCATGCCAATGCCAATGCCAATGCCAATGCTGCTGCTGAGTCGCCGCCTCACTCGCTGCTGCCCCCCGCCGCGCCCGCCTCGCCTCTGCTGCTCGGCCTCTGCATTGGCATCGTCGGCCTCTGCTGGGCCCCGCGCCCGCGCCAACACCACCACTACCACGTCCACTACCACCCTCGCCGCCGCCGCCTCGCCCACGGCCAGCCCCAACGACAGCGGCGACGCTCTGCACACGGCGCGAACGTGGCTCAACGAGCTGCATGCACAGACGATCCCCATTGCGGCCATTGGCGAATTGACCTTCAGCAGATCATCGGGCCCTGGCGGCCAGAACGTGAACAAGTATGACAAACGGTTAATTATTCGCAACCGCCGCGCTGCGCTAATCCGCTTACACAGAGTCAATTCCAAAGCCACTCTAAAAGTCCCCATCGATGCCCTGCTGCGCCATGTCCCTGCAGCGCTCCATGGCGACATCAAGCGCTCGCGCTACTACGCTGCAAACTCGGCCGCCCTCGTCGTCCACGCCGACGACAGTCGCAAGCAGAGCGACAATGTCCGCAGCTGCTTCCGCCGCCTGCACGACGCCATTGTCGACGCCGCCCGCAAGGCTGTGCCCGCCCAGGCGTCGCCAGAGCAGGCCCACCGCGTGAAGCTTCTGTATGTCTTCGTCGCTGCATCCGTGTCCGACAGCCCACGCGACGGCCCGAAAGCTGATAAGACGCCAGTCAAAAATCCGATAACGAGCGCCGCCTGAAAAACAAAAAACTGCAAAGCGCTAAGAAATCCTCCAGGCGAGGCCGGGGCGACGACTAAAGCGGTCTGCGGGGGAGCTTCGTGCCACAGCGCCTGCCGCTCAGCTGGACACGCAGGTGACGTGGTATGACAGCTCCCGCCGTAGCTCAAACTCACGATACAGCAGTAAAGCCGCAGCGGTGTGGCCCTCTTCCCCCCTTCCGCTAGCACCCACGAGGCGACATTCTGCCATGCAGGGTATGCTTGGTACAACAAGTCGGCTGACGAATGCCTCAATTGCTTCTCGACTCTGCCGCCAACACGTACTTTTGTAGCCTTTCATTCGTAGCCCAGTATTTGCTGCCCATCTGAGCCAACAGCTGCGCTTCGTCTCGCTTGCCCTGCTGCCGCAGTGACTCGGCCAAACCAGCAACCTTATCGCCTGTCCCTTCACCGTCTTCCATGATCCGCACATATTTTCGCAGTGCCGCCCGCAATGCCTTCTGTAGCGACTGGTCGCTATCCGCGAGTAACCGATACAGAGATAAGAGCTGTGCAACTGCCGCCTCGGCTATTCTGCTGCCCTCCCCGCGATGCTGCTCAAGGGCGCTGCTTATCACGTCCAGCGCCTTACTGAGTCCAAGGGCAATATCAGGATCGGCGCCATGGCAGCCGTACAACTGCATGCGGAACTTGCATAGAGCAGTCTCCACAGCCTGTGGCGACGTCTCTTGAAGATAGTCTAGCACGTGCTGCAGCATGCGTGGTATGCACGAGAGCTGCTCGAATTCGGCCAACATGCCAAAAAACCTCTCGGCCACCCTGGCTTGGCCCTGGAACTGCTTCATGGCTGAATCGAAAATGGCCAGGGGAATCGCTCCCGTAAGCACGGGCGCAGCTGCCAGGTTTTGCAGCGCCACCTCGTCGACACCGTCGTCCTGCTTCAGGCTGGGATTCACGTCCTCGGCCGTCACTTGTGGAAGCGCAATCATGTTCTCGTCGCCCTCCTCATCCGTGCTTGGCTTGTTTGTGCGATCGACATCGAGACCCAAGATCTTCCGCCTGCCTGCAATCTTGCCCACGTAGATGGTCTCCAGCTTGGCATACTCGAGCCACATGACTTCCGAGTTTTTGCAGAAGCGCAGCCCCCGCTGCATGTAGCTCCGCGCATTGGTAATGTCGGCCTGGGTATCCATGAAATAGGTTGCCGCAAGGATCCATATGTCGGGCTTGGTGGGGTGCAGGCGAGCGACAGAGGTGAAGATGTCGTTGAGCCTCCGGTATGCCTTGTCCCTGCGCGCAAAGTCGATGTATTGCATCCATAGTGTGAGGTCGCCCGAAAACTTCCTCGTCGCGCGATTGTAGAGAAGATAGATTGTCCGCTGTCCAGATCCCTTGTACCGAACCCCCAGTCGCTTGATTCGTTTGCGGCGGAGAGCGTCGACGTTCTTCTCAAACTCAATGTAGCGCATGTAGTCTTCGGGGTGCGAGCCGCGCGCATTGATGATGTGCTCGAAATCCGACCGCTTCTTCGCGATTGAGCTGATCTCTTCCTGTGCACGCCGTTAGCATCGCTACTGTTGCGCCAGCGTCTCCTTGTACCTACCCTGCTGAAGATTTTTTTGCGCTCAAGCTCGTTCAGCTCCGTCGCTGACTGCTCCAGGTAGAAGCGCGCCTTGTCACTCGGGCCGGCCATGTTTGCGTCGCCTTGTGCTGCTGCGAGGGTTCTGTTCAAAAAAGTTGCCCGGCCCAGAAAATGTTAGCCTAGAAGTTGCTCCCGCAAATAGCGCCTTGGCTTGCGGAGCGCGGACCCTGGCTCTACACGTACGTCGTTCGAACTTCAGGAGACTGGCATAGCCGACCGACCGCCTATCACCCCTTCTCGACACTCTTTTTGCCTCTTTCTTCATTTCTGGTGCTGGAGGGTCACTGAGGGGTCTTTCAATTGCTGCACCATGGTCAAGGATAAAGACGGCGACACGGTCGCAACTGTACGCGCAGCCACACCCGACCCCCGAGCCCACCCCATGCTCACCAGACGCAGTTCAATGGAAAATGGATCTCGTATGGGCACACCGCTATGGCCTACGGTATGTTGTCCATGTCTAGTTATGGACGCTTTATGCTGAATTGATCTCTAGCCGCCTTTCTCGGAGCCCTCATAGTCGGAATGTACGCCGATTACTCCACCGCCCACTCCATGCGACGCGACTAAGAACCCACAGCTCGCTACACTACCACAAGATTGTGCAGAATGAATTCTACGTTAGTGCCGAGGCCATGCTGCTTCAGGAAAATATCAGTAACATGTGCAGGGTTTCCCAGAGGAGTGGTTCCCTTCCGTATCCGCGACCATTGGCGACCGCTATCCGGAGCGTTCCGTCTTCATGCTGTTCATTGCTCTTACGTCTGGTATGACATCTCAAGCAGCCAACGCATAGCCGGGCTAAGAAGCATAGGTCCCCGGTTCGCACTCGTCGGCCTCTGGTATGTCTTGACTCGCCGTCCAAACTCGTCCCTCCCCAAGTTCATTGCTGGTGTGGGCATCTTCCGAACATTGACCTGCGGAGGATGGACATATGTGACCTCTACCGATGACCATGACTGGCACGACATCTTCATGATCTCGTACCTGGTTGCAACACTGCCATGGACTATTGGCTGTATCGCCCTGAGCCCTACCAATGCCACTGCACTCAAATACCGAAAGGCTTTTGCTGGGAGTTTCTTTGCCACGCTTGTGCCATTAATCTACTTTTTCATTCAGCACAAAGTTCACCATGTTGCCGGAGGTATGTCTCGTTGTTTTGGTCGTCCGACCCCTGCTTACGTCTGGTAGCGTACACCATCTATTCTTTCTTCGAATGGTCTCTGGTCTTGCTCGACGTAGCCTTTGATGCCGTCACAGTGATCGAGTTTCAGCACTTCGAAATTGTAATCAAGGATGTACGAGGTCTATCTCGCGCGTATGTACCACGTCTCCCGAAATAGATAGACTATCATACCAATTGATTCTGCTTTGACCACTTTCTGATCCACTGCTTCTATAGTACGGGTTCCAAGTCAGTCTCCGATGCCGTTCAAGAGTAAGTTTCCGCCTTTCATAAACGCAGCATGTGTCTGACTTTGTGGCAGGAAAAACAAGGAGCTTGGAGCAACCTTTTCCGGCGCATTCTCTTGGTTTGGACTCATCTTTACCGCGGCCGATGTGTACAGTGGAGTGCGTAGGACCGAATACTGGCTCGTGCATGGCTAACCCATCATCTAGTTCGTCTTCTGGTCCATGTTGACATCGCTCGGTGTTTGCGTCTGGTGTATGTTGACGCCCCCGCTGTACAGGCTTCTGCTGACCGTGGCTAGACTTTCCCCTCTGGCACATGGGCATCTCTGGTTATGAAGCCCTAGTCATGTGCACAGTTTCTCCGTTTTTCCTCGGTATCAAGCCCATCCGCTACATTGCCACGCGCTACGTGTGGTTCTTCCATCTGCTTTCGCTTTCCGGACTCCTGGCTTTCCTTGCAAAGACGCCCGTCAACCGACTCTTTGCCGTTGCCTTTGGTCTGTCCATGTCATGCCTTGCATGGTCAGCCACCTTTCTCGGAGAGCGGTCGCAGCCGCACCGTCTCGAAGGCCGCATTACTGCATTCGCCATTGGCCTGATAGCCTCTAGCATCGCAAAGTACGCCTTCTGGACAAACAACCCCATCTGGCCAATCATGCACGAGGCCAACGGTGGATGGAACAAGACCGGTTTCGTGGTAGCTCTCATTTCTATTCTGATATCCATGAGGTCGACCGCAAGCCGTGGTGCTGATGTCCCGGCTCAGGGCCCTACAAAAGGATACTCAGTCTTTGCCAGTTTCGGTCTTGCTGGCGTTCTCTTCTCCATGCACTCTTTACTGTCCGACTCGAGCACCATGATCTCCTGGGTATGGGAAGGATACCCCGTCCGTGGACCCCTTGCCGTTCCTCACGGCACCCTCACTCATTTTGCTATGGGTATCGGTCTTATGGTTGGTCTGTTTGCGCCGAACCTATCGCGCTCATGGGCCTTTTATGGTGTTGGCTCCATCGGTGCTGCTATACTGACCACCACTGGCCACTGGACTGGATTCTACGGCGCCCTTGCACTGACTGTGTATACTATGGCAGCAGCACCGATTCTCATTGAACATGCCGCTCGCCACGCACCGGGCCGCACATTTGGCCTCGCTTTCCTGGTTTACAACTTTATGGTGCTCTTCCACGTCTGGGTCGTAGCATACGCCTTTGTCCCGGGAGGACCTCTGGTTCGTGAACACACAGACTGGGTCATGACAGCCATGATGGTCCAGATTGGTGCGGGTGTCTTTAGTGTCTCTACCCAGCCACCGGCGCTTAAGAGCTACAAGGGCAAGGCTGTCGTTACTGCTGCCGCCAGCCGCCAGCGCTCGTACTACCTCTACGTCCTTGGAGCTCTGGAGATCCTTTCCATTGCGATCGCATACCTGCGTTTCCCATCGTATGACTACAAGCCGTACCACCCAGAAACCAAATCCATCACGGCAGGTATCTGGACGATCCATTTCTCTTTGGACAATGACATGTGGTCCTCCGAGTACCGCATGCGTGACCTGATCAAAGAGCTAGAGATTGACGTTATTGGACTCCTCGAGAGCGACCTGCAGCGCATCATTATGGGCAACCGCGATACGACACAGTTCCTTGCCGAGGACCTAGGCATGTACGTCGACTTTGGGCCCGGCCCCAACAAGCACACATGGGGCTCAGCTCTGCTGTCCAAGTTCCCCATTGTAAACAGCACACACCACCTTCTGCCGTCGCCGGTAGGCGAACTCGCGCCCGCCATCGAAGCCACCATCGACGCCTACGGCGAGATGATTGACATTTTCGTCTTCCACTCGGGCCAGGAAGAAGACCCAGAGGACCGCCGCCTACAGTCTGAGTACCTCGCTGAGCGCATGAAGGCGACGCCCCGCCCGGCCATCTTGCTGTCGTACCTTGTCATTAAGCCCGGCGAGGGCAACTACAATACCTATGTCGGTGAGAAGAGCGGCATGCATGATATCGATCCTAGCGACTGGGATAGATGGTGCGAGTACATTCTCTACAAGGGCATTAGGAGATCGGGTTATGCTCGTGTTTCCAGACATACGATTACCGATACCGAATTGCAGGTATGTATCCACTCCCCTCCTTTTATTTTCCCTCTTTTTTCTCTGCTTGCTTGTTTGTCCTCTGTTGTTCTTGTCGTTGTTATCCGGCTTCAAATAGGTATACTAACTTCTTCTCCAGGTCGGCAAGTTCGTCGTCGGCGAGCCCGAAAACACGAGCAACCAGCTAGTCCATGAGTCGCAGGTCCCCGACGGTCTGAGGTTCCCGGCGCTCTTCAGGGGCGAGGGCGTCAGAGGCCATAGGTACCATGTTTTCGATGAGCCGAGGTATTTTGAGTAATTTTCTGGGCGCGATGGAGGTCAAGGCATGGGTGGGTGTATTGCATGCGTGTGAGTGATTGGGGATATGATGGAGAGAGAGAGAGAGAGAGAGAGAGAGAGAGGGAGGGAATAAGTCTAGTATGTACATGGTAGACTTTTGTACAACATGCATGTCTTTTTGCGTTAGTTACTCCCCCCCCGCCCCCCCCCCCCCCCAAAAAAAACAAGAGTCCCATAATTCTTTGGTTTACATCAACTTTGCAAATGGATTTTTACATTTGTAATTCACCACGATTCTTGCTCTCTTGCTTTCTTCTAACCTGTAACTGTGTATATATATATATATATATACATGCACATACATACATACAGTAAACCCCCCAATACTTAGTTGATATTTCACAGCATAGAGAGAAAGCGTGACACAAAGAGAGGGAGAAAAAAAAAGAAAAACATGGCAGAACTCTTTCGTTTTCGGAAAAGTCCTTGTGGAAATAATAACGAGACAAAAAAAGAGGCCAAGTTCTGATGGATATAAGAAAAAAAGAGGGGGGGGGGGAAGTACGTGGAGTATCAGTAGTAAGCAAGTAAGTAAGTAAGTAAGTCTGTCTTTACTATCTCTTCCACTCCACTCCACTCCAATCGTGACCTTGACCTAACCTAACCCACGACCTGATTTCGCAAAGCCTAGATATATAGATACCGAACCCGCGCTACCCCCGCCTAACCGCTGCCATGAACTTTATTTTGATCTGCTCCTTCGCTTCTGCTTCTCTCTGGGCGTCTACTTTTTTTTTGCTCATGGCATAGATCATGAAATTGTCATCATCAATCATCAACCCAGACACACACTCTCTCTCTCACACACACATATATGCTTGACCTCCCCAGACGCCGGGTTTTCCCTTACTACCGCTACTGCCACGTATCGCCATTAAACGAGAAGAAGAAAAAACAAAAAGCACACAAATGTAGTCGTACAAAATCACATACTCATTTTGCCACGGCGGCGCTGAGGACCTGTGTTCTGAAGAAGCCGCCCTTTGTGCGCTCAATGACTTGCTGGTAGACTGATTGTGGGGGGTGGTTCATGACGACTGTGCCGGCTTGGTAGTCAATCTTTGCGTCTACGCGCGTGTCGCGGATGAGGTTGACGATCCACTTCTCACCCTCGTCCTGGGAGAGACCGAGACGTGTTGAGAGGTCCCTTTGGCCAGTCGTTAGTAAAAACATAATTTTGCGTGTAAGAGAAAAACAAAAAACATGGCCCACTCACTTGATGTCGATTCTCTGGTGGATCTTGCAGTAGCTCTCGGAAATGAGATGCCTGGCTGCATCCACAAACTGGTCTGCGGCGCCCAGCAAGAAGAAGTCGTTCTTAAGGATCTCCTCGGTCTCGCCCAGCTTCTTTTGCGCCTCCTCAAAGTCAAAGTCAATGTACAGGGCCTTGATGAAGTCGGTGACCGGGTCGCTGTATTCGTAGCCTTCTTGTCGCACAATCCTAATCAGGTCCTTGAGTTGCTTCTGGTACTGATTCGAGTTCCTGCCCCGGTTGCGGCCGGTAATGACGGCGGCAGCGAGGTAGCGCAGGATCCAGGGACAGCTTGTCTGGATGGTGTTGATGTATGCAGGAGAGAAGAACATGTCGGTGAGGGTTTCGCGCGAGGTTTCGTGGTTGAAGAGAGGGAAAAGCGACCAGTGGATCAACCAGGTGCGGTGCTGCAGCTGTGCAAGAGGGTTGTTGAAGAGGCGTGTGTCAATGATCTCCTTGAGCTTGTTGATCTCCTCCATGGCCGAGTCCCAGTTGACCGACAGGATCTCGCAAGCGAGCTTACCCCAGGTGGCCTCGCGCTCCTTGTCGCCGTCGGTGGTCTGCAAGGACAATGTTAGCGGGTTGGGGTGCACAGCGGCTGCGCGTGCACGAGGGGACATACCAGAACCCTGAAGCGGTAGAGAAGCTCGGCGGCATGGGGGTAGACGCCGCACGAGTACTGGAACTGGCCAAACTCGAGCAGCTGGTTGACCATTTCCATGTCGACACCGTGGCTCTCCTTGAGGTAGGCCAAGTTCTGCTGCTTGTCGCTCCGCAGGTTTGTGACGACGTTCTCGTCATCCAGCAGGCCGCTGATCTTGCTCGTGGCGTCCTCGAGCTGGTCGCGCTTCTGCAGCACTTCCTCGCGCTTCTTCTTGTACTCGTCCGACATGTCGGCGAGGCCGTGGACCTCCTGGTGCAGCTGGCCAACAAAGTCGGTCATGTTGGTGGGCTTGAGCAGCTCGAGCAGCAGCTTCTTCTGCTCGGCCGTCTGCTCGGCCTCTTCATCGCTCGAGAAGTTGAGGAGCGGGTAGATGAGGTGGCGGTCGAGATGGGGCATGAGCTTGGGGAGCAGCGAGTACTGTTCGGCGACGTTTGCGCCGGCTGCCGCAGAGTCGGCCATGGTGGGCGGTTGTCGGGCGGGTGGGTGTGTGGGTGGTTGGGGGGGCGGGCGCGAAATTCGAGATGTCGGCGGGCGGCGGTGGTGTTAGTGGGGGAGGTGGATGAAAAACGACTGTGCGCAAGCGAGGACCCCTGTACGCTACTGTAAACTTGTGGTGTTGAGCCGCAATTCACGCCCGACGCCCGCATCGCCCCCATCCAGGCCGCCTATCTCCAACGCCTTGCTGTTCGCCGTGACCGCGGGCCTTGCTGGCTTCCACTGCACCGCAATGCCTCGCCTGCAATCTCTCGCCCCGCTGCTGAGGCCATTGGCCGCTCCCCGAGTAGTTGCATCTCGCCCGCACTTCCGCTTCTCCACCGCAAGGCCATGGCACGCTGAGCGTCAGTTTCCCCAGTCTACGTACACAATTTTTTTTTTATATAGCGACTGACTCCTGGATAGAAAGTCCGCCCAACGCCTCCTCCAAGCAACCATTGTCGCCCCAAGCAGCCCAGCGCGCCGCCGACCTCGCAGCAGCAGAATCCCTCACCGAGGCCGACAGCGCGCAACCACCAGAGGACAAGCCCGTCCTGCCCTCCAAGCACCCTCGCGCCGACAACAAGCCAACAAGCCCTAAAAAGGCCAATGGCGTTGCGCCTCCACCACCCTGGGCCGCGCCAAAAGGCACAGCCAACACCACAAAAGCGCTCAAGCAAAAGGCGCCCAAGAAGCCCAAGACACCGCGCGCACCCGAAACATCTCTTCCCCCGCCAAAATACACCGTCTCAAGATCAACAAACAAAAACCTGCCCATCTACACAGACTACAAGCGTGGCGGCAACCTGCACCAGACCCTGGTGCGGAAAATCACCGGCGATGTGATGGCGCTGAGAGACGAGCTGCGCGTGTTTCTGAACAAGAAGGACGAGGATGTTATAATCAACAGTCTGACACGCCATATCGTAGTCAAGGGTCATCACGCAAACGAAATCACACAGTTTTTGGTGGCGAGGGGCTTTTAGATGCTCCGTGTTATGGTATGGAAAAGGTGTGCTGGATTGAAGCCATTCAAGAATACCCTATTCTTGTGTATTATGTGTTTATCATGTGTATAAAGAACTACATACTAGCGATGAAATGGAAAAGCAGCCCTGGGATTTATGGGCGGCTGGGGGTGACCATGTTGAAATGCAGATGAAATGTTGTTGGACTTGAATTCGAATGTAATTATGAAGGTAGATAGACTTGGAAATGGGGAGCTGGAGCGGCGAGCTGAAGCAGCACCAACACAAGGTTACTCAGGCCCCCTCCACATGCACTCTGAAGAAAATACATCGACCCTACATCATGTACGACTGTGCCGCAAACACACCATAATCCATCAAGTAATCATTCCACAAACCTGTCAACAATGCATCATACGCCCAAGGTCGAGCCACGCATTACAGCCAGCCGGACTACATCTCCGGGAATCCAGCGAGTCATCATGCAAACTCGTCACCCAACCTTTTTGCAAGAGATGTTGGTTCGTACAATGTCATCATGACCGGGGAGCCGGCGCAATCCCAGTGGGCTGCAGCATCTTGTTTTCCGGGCATTACCCAGCCCGCCCCCCAAGCTTCGACGTCGAGTTTACGTTTTAGCCTGTTCACCAGCCATGACCTACTTCCTGGTAAGGTACTGCCGATCCCCATGTGGCAAATGAGCAAAAAACAACGTCCACCTCTCACAGGGCTACGCAATACGAACTTGGCGCGGTGCTGGGGGGAGGGCCGCCGCCAACCCCGGTCCAGATCGCCTGCAAGTTATATTTCCGAATATGGTCTTGAGGTGCCGCCCCCTCCCCTCTTCTCCCCATGTTCTTGCATCGCAGCCCTCACGCAGAGGTGCTGCATACTCACGTTTTTATGCTTTTCCGGCCTCTTCCTATCTTGTTCTGCCTCCCTGTCTTTTTATTAATGTTGCTTCGGTCTTGCTTCGTGGTCGAAGGGGCGAGGCGCGTCGAGCGTCAAAGCTGCGCAAATATGTAAGGCGTCTTTGTTACATGCCGAATGCGGTAAGACGTGTTCGGATGAAGCGACGTCGTTGAACCAGATGCTCATTGTATTCTTTGGTAACGGATGAGACGGGTCTTGCGGGACCAGGTCGAAACGTATGCTACCGATAAGTAGTCGATGCGGAGCGTTTGTAGGGTCGAATTGAGAGGAAAAGATGCAAGTGCTCCCCTCGCCTGGGCACTGAGAGCGTCCAAGCTGACGCGGGAGACCACCCTAGGACGCTTTCCTCTACGCATGCCGGACTGGTATACGGGCTGACAGGTGCAGAGCATGCGCCTCTACAAAATTCTCATACGCCCAAGCCTCCGCTCGGCGACTCGGACATGGTCGACACAGAGAGTGGCGATACTGTCAGTCTTGCCGGTATCCAAGGCATTCTGGACGTTTGCACGCTTCGACTTCCGTTCAGGAGACTGCAGCCGTGTCCAGACAGACATTTCCTGTTTGGAGAGAGACACCGAAGATACCCCGTTTGTAATGTATGTTCCATCCGACTTTGATTCTCTGCCGTCGGCGACCATCTAGCTGGCTCGAATCTAGGCCAGACCTCGTTAGTTCAGACTGGTGGAGAATACAAGAGCAAGAGGCTGTGGGAAGACTCCAGATACAAGGTTTGTTTTATCACGTATGGGCTGTAGTGCGCGGATACGGTGGTTACGGGTGAGAGCCACGGCGCAGCCTCTCGCATCCTCGTCATGAGCCACATGCATTTCTCTGGCCTCAGTGGCATCGTGTCTTCCCCGATACTCGTCCTCGATGCCGCGGCTCGTCAGGATTCTCTTGGGAATTCACGGCTCGCGGCTCGTCTACGGAGGAATAGGAAGAGCAGCGTGCTAGGGGCACGAGGAAATGCGACTTCAAGATTGCGTAGATGGCAGCGCGTATGGGCCGGGAGGGGGTCGGAAACGAGGTATGGTTTGTGCAAGGACAAGCAATTGGTGGTGAAGGTAGAAAGTTTGGTTGCTCAGCTATGTAGGAGGGTTGGGCCATCGTCTGGGCCCCGTTTAGCGAAGGCGCACCACAGGCTGGGCTCGACACGGCCGTGGCAATGACGGCCGGCCGTTTTCTGCGGTTTGTGAGGCAGTCCATGTCGAGCTGGGAGACGAAGGCAATATGTGAGAAAGCAGCGTGGTGGCATCGTCCGTGCGTTGAGAAGGTAAGGAATTGGCATCTCGATACGAATCAGTCCATGTGGACTAGGAGGGCTCTAGTGGCGTGTCCCATGTTTGCCGCCAGAGAGGGAGTTGAAGCTCCGGGTGCACGCGTTCTCGCTCCAGGCGCGAAAATTGCCGTGGTGCTCGGAATAGTGGATATTTGAATCCGCAGGCGTTGGAGAGATGACGACGGAGCTTCGAGGGCTCGGATTGCTGTGACTGGCTTCGGGAATTTGGCCCGGAGCGGACTTCTTCTAGCAAGGATCACCAGCACTAAGCACATGGATGCTGGTATCAAACATGAGCCGCGCCTGACAGCAACACTGGACTTGTACATAGCCATTGCGTGAATGCACTCGGGCAGGCCTACCGTCTCGAGCCCCGACGCACATAAAGAGGCGCTGCTGCGACTGAAGTGTAATCTGCCGAACTAATGTGCCGTGTGTCCAGAGACGTGCGTCCGCGGATTCCTTTGCAACACGTCAGTGGGTAAGACATGTTGTTTTCAACGAATGACTAATATATTCAAAGCCACACTCGACCAGAATCCGCATCTCGGCTCGATAGCACCATTGGCCCAGACGAGAGAGCTGCCTGAAACTTCGCCAGTCACACTCAAGCCCCCTTGGGTGCCACTGAAAAATTACCCAGCCGCTTCTTCCAATGTCACCGCTTTGGTGATATCGCGACCGAAACGGACACAGTGCATGGCCAGCACCAAAACAAAAAATAATATCACGCGGTTGCGGTATGCATCCCGGCAACCAGCCCTTCTCCCGGCTCACGAATACTCTGGCTCGGAACATTCTCCTCGACATGTGCGGCCCCTCGGACGTCGCTGACACCGCGACAGGTACAACTCTCTTCCATCAGTAGCTCCAAATATCTACGTATGGGGTAACGTCTAGCCAGGCCTGCTCCATCGAATCCGTGCTGACCCTGCACAGTAAATATCGCTCGAGGAGTGGCTGGTGAGTGCATTCGGTGGTGCTGCAACGAAAGGCGCTTACCTCGCTGCACAGTCTTACCTGTCGAGCACGCCGTGTCAAGTGTAAGCAGTCTTTCCTAGCCTATCTGCCCATGCTAAATACAAATTCCAGGCGATGAGACCCACCCGGTATGCAAGGCCTGTAGCAAGAAAAACCGGCCGTGTCAGTGGGAAGAGCCACACACCAAGTTCAAGGACTATCGGCCGGGAGCGCCCTCGTCGACCAAGTCTGCAACCGACGGTACAGACGATGAAAACGAGGAAAGAGACAATCTCGAAAGCAACGACGTGGACGACGAAGAGAGAGATGCCGATGACGAAGATGAAGAGATGGTTGCTGCAGACGGTACCGGCGAGGGAGGCCGCAACCAGGCTACTTCACAGCGCGACATCCAGAGCAGCAGTCGGGCTGGTCAGCCATTAGATGCCCTTTCCTCCAGTCTACCTTCGCCTACGTCCCAGTTGTTTCCGCCATACTATGCTACAACTGCGATTACGAGTGGCGGTGTGTCCATGGCCATGTTACTGCAGCACGATAACCCAGACACTCAAACACATACACCCATCCAACAGACTCGCCCGATTTACTCGTCCCAGCCGGTTCCCTTGACTCATCGAGAGGCTGTGCTGGTGCACCACTTCACCGAAAACCTCGGCCGCTGGCTTGACTGCACAGATGCGACCCACCAATTCACACTTGGAGTACCGGAGAAAGTCAAACACTGTCTCGTGCTTGGCCACGCAGTCCTTGCGTTTGCTGCTCGCCACTGCAAGCAGCATGATGTCGCAGAAGCGGCGTATCAAAGCTGCATTTCTCTGCTGATCATGCGGCTGAACGACGAAAACGCAAGTCATGACGAGACTCTACTATGTGCAATTGTCATCCTGCACTTTTACGAGCAGCTGAGCCGTAAGTCTGAGCGCGCCGACTTGACATCTTCTCGCATCTAACTTTTTTCTCTAGTCCCGTCACGCGTAGGCTCAGAAGACGAGCAACAGCACTTGGCAGGTTGCTCGGCCATTATCCGCTCCTCGCAAGGATACCATTTTGTAGATCCTTCAGCGCCCACCCTGCGCGAGGCCGCCTTTTGGGTCTATGTACGGCAATGCATCCACAATGCCACCATGAACAAGCAGCTGCCCGACATTGACTTTTCATTGCAGTTGCACCCAGAGCCCAGCTCTATGCGGGATGTGCATCCACTAGCTCGCCTGAGGTTAGAAACGGCTTGGTCGAACCAGATGGCATGGAACCTCGCCCGTGTCGTGAATTACTGTTTTGACGGGAGCGAGCCTTACAGTGAGATGTCGCCCAAGATGGAGCAATGGCAAAATCTCTGGGAGCTCGTTCAGACATGGATGCGGGACAGACCAGCCGGCTTCAATGCCATTTATGAAGGCCCAGCTGGCGATCAGGGCCCATTTCCCAACATCTGGTTCACAGCCGATTGGCATGGTAAGACTCTATACTTGCTTGATTCTCTGCTGTTTCAATTGCTAACTCATCAGCTGTATCCTTCTGTTTCTACCACTTTGCATGTATCATGCTACTCCGCTACAAGCCCGGCTCAAAGCTAGCAACACACAACATGGGCAGTCTATCTGAACCAGACGTAAGAAGCTCTACTTTCCAGTCGCCAAACCACCTACTAACTAGCACAGCACCAGATCCTCAAGCATGCACGAGCCATCTGCGGCGCAGCCAAGAGCTCAAAAGAGACGGCTACATTAGCCATCATAGTACGCCACACGGTGTTTGTATGGGGCCCGCTGGTATCCGACACAAAAGAGCGCGAAGAAGTCGTCCAGATACTAGCTCAAGTCGAAAAAGACCACGTGTGGCCCACAATGTGGATCATCAACGCACTGCGCGTCGAGTGGGGAATCTCTTCCAACCCTACCGCATCCATATCCCCCATGGAGTTTTAGACACAAGAAAAAAAAGAAGAAAAAAAAGAGAAATCGAATCACGTACATATATACTATAGCGCTATTTTTATTGTGTTTTTTTTCGCGCGGAAGTATCTTACATGGACAGTAAGTAAGTAAGTGGCCGGGGGGGTTTGCGTGGATTTACTTTTACTTTACACCGGGGGG